TCATGATTAAACCATTTCCATCTGTGAGTACTGTCTACAGCATACTATTGTCAGATGAGAAGCAGAGGCAGGTCTCTACCTCTCCTTAGTTTCTCCATACATCTGCATCTTTCAATGCTGGGGTCTCTAAACAAGGTTTTCCTTCCAGAGTCAATTTTGACACACAGAGACCCCTTACATGCAAATATTGTAAGAAACCTGGTCACACTATTGACAAGTGCTACAAGTTACATGGGTATCCTTCAAATTTCAAGTTCACAAAAGGGACTGCCAGTAGGAAAACTGCAGCTCATGTTGAACTGAATTCTCCCTCTCCTCCTGTTAATGTGATTTCTGATTCTGACAAGCCATCTGATTCTAGTAATGCTCCAATGATTTCTGGTTTAACACAAGATCGAGTTTCCCAACTGATGATGTTACTGCAACATTCTCATGTATCTGCTGATTCCTCCTCTACTCCCACTCTTATGGCTTCTGCCAACTTTGCTGGTAAGCTGTTGTCAGAAAGTATTACTCTCAAGTAATGCATGCTTTCACAAGTAGATAGTTTTGTTTGGATAATAGACTCTGGAGCTTCTGATCATATGACCTCTCATAAAGAACTTCTGTTCAATCTAAGGACATTGCCTATACCTTGTCTAGTTTCTCTCCCAAATGGTTACAAAGTAAAGGTCCATTTAATAGGATCCTTAAATTTGTTTCCAAATTTCACAATTCATCATGTTTTGTATGTTCCTTCTTTTCAATACAATCTTATTTCTGTTCATAAGTTGTTAGAACAATACAATGGGATTGTCTTGTTTACCAGAACTCTTTGTGCTATACAGGCCCCTTCTCTGAAGATTCCTCTGGTTCTTGGTAAATTGCACCACAATCTCTACAAGCTACTTCTTCCACCTGTTGTTTCTTCTAGTGCTGCCTCCAGCTATTCTTCTAATACTGTTTCCCCTGTTTCCTTTCCGATTACTTCTCCTGTTTGTGTTTTTCCTGAGATACAAGATGATGCAAAAATTGTAAATGTTGCTGATGTTGATGTAACACATGTTAGTACTGATGCAAATCTGAATAATATCAATAAAATGGATATATATATGCTTGGGTCACATTTATCCTCCAAACAATCTTTTTCTTGTCCAATATGTCCTTTAGACAGACAAACTAGATTACCATTCCCTCATAGTAGCATACAATCTACAAAACCTTTTCAACTGATCCATGTTGAAACCTGGGGTCCATACCATTCTCCCACTTATTCTGGCTCAAAATATTTTATGACTATTGTTGATGACTATTCAAGAGCCACTTGGACACATCTTATGGGAGCCAAAAGCAATGCTTTTGACCTCCTAAAAGCCTTTATTGCTATGATTGAAACTCAATTTCAGCTGAAAGTCCAGCAAGTCAGAAGTGACAATGCCTTAGAATTGGGGTCCAGTATTCTTGGTTCCAAGCTCTTTTCTGAAAAAGGAATATTGCATCAGACAACATGTCCTCACACTCCACAACAAAATGGAGTCGTAGAAAGAAAACACAGGCATCTCTTAAAAACTGCTAGGGCCCTTCTTTTCCAATCTGGTCTCCCTATTAGATTTTGGGGAGACTGCATACTCACAGCCACCTATTTGATTAACAGATTTCCTTCTAGTGTCTTAAAGAACAAAAGCCCTTATGAGATCCTGTACAATAAGCATCCCACCTACTCCAATCTTAGAGCGTTTGGATGTTTGTGCTACTCTACTGTTCCAAAACCTCATAGGGACAAACTTCAGCCTAGGGCTACTCCTTGTGTATTCATTGGTTATCCCTTTGGAAAGAAAGGTTACAAGCTGTATGACTTACAAAATAAAACATGCCTTATCTTTAGAGATGTTGTATTTCATGAGCATGTTTTTCCCTTTGTCAAAACTGGATCTTCTTCTCCTATTATGTTAAATTTGCCTTTTTCTACTTGCTTTGATCAGTCTGTTCCACAACATTCTTCAATGTATCATGATTTGTTTTTCCCTATTTCATCAGATCCTTCTTCTTCTAATCCTTCTCTTTCTACTTCTGAATTGTCTTTCAACAATGACTCTTCTGTTTCCCCTACTCTCCCAATTCCTCTTCCCTCTGAATCTAATTCTCCTCCTCTCTTCTCTGAATCTGATTTTCCATCTTTAAGGAGGTCCTCTAGACCTCACAATCCTCCATCCTATTTGCAGAATTATGTTTGTGACTTATCTACTTTTAGCTCCAGGTCTGTTAATTCAACAGTTGTGTCTACATCTAGTGAACATGTTTTTGAGCCTAATACTTACTCTCAGGCAGCAGCTATCCCTGAGTGGCAGGCTACTATGAGAAAGGAGTTTGAGGCATTGGAAACTAATGGTACTTGGGATATAGTTGAGTTACCCAAAGGCAAAAAGCCAATTGGATGCAAATGGGTATACAAAATTAAGTACAAAGCTGATGGGAATATAGAAAGATATAAAGTTAGGCTTGTAATTAGAGGTGATACACATGTTGAGGGAATAGATTTTCATGAAACTTTCTCTCCGGTGGTTAAACTTTCCACTGTTAAAGCCTTAATTGCTGTAGCTGTTAAAAGAAATTGGTCACTATTTCAATTAGATGCTAATAATGCTTTTCTGGATGGGGATTTAGATGAGGAAGTTTATATGAAAATTCCACCTGGTCTTTCTGTTTCCACTGCATCTGATGATTCTCTTTCCCACAATTTGGTCTGTTGATTGAAAAAATCTTTATATGGTCTACGCCAAGCTTCAAGGCAATGGTATGCAAAGTTGTCCCAGTCCTTGGCATCTAGAGGTTATTCACATTCATTCAATGATTATTCACTTTTTATAAAGGGTTCTGGTGATAACCTGGTTCTCTTAGTTGTCTATGTTGACGATATTATTATCACTGGGACAGATATGGTTGAAATTGCTGCTGTGAAACATTTTCTTCATGATCAATTTAAGATTAAAGATCTAGGCCATCTTAACTACTTCTTGGGTATTGAAGTGTTGTACTCAAAGGGTGGGGTGTTGTTACATCAGAAGAAGTTTGTGAAAGATCTTCTCAAGGAGTTCCATTCTTCTGATTGCTCATCAGTTGTATCCCCCCTTGAAATGCATGAAAAGTTACTGGCTGATCAGGGTGATCCTCTGCCTAATCCTGAGAATTATAGGTGCTTGGTGGGTAAGCTCAATTTTCTGACCCATACAAGACCTGATATTTGCTTTGCAGTCCAGCACTTGAGCCAATTCATGCAAAGGCCTTGTCTTCCTCATATGCAAGCTGCCTTGCGACTACTCAGGTATCTTAAGGGTACCCTTGATTTTGGGGTCTTCTACAACAATTCTCCTGATCTTTCTCTTAGTGTTTATTGTGATAGTGATTGGGGTTCATGCCCAGACAGTAGGAAGTCCATCAGTGGGTTCTGCATCTTGTTAGGGGGTTGTTTAATTGGTTGGAAGTCCAAGAAACAGTCTATAGTTTCTTTATCATCTGCTGAAGCTGAATATAGATCCATGAGTAAGGCCACTGCTGAAATAACTTGGGTTTGCCGACTTTTATCTGATTTTGGTGTTGTTTCTTCTTCTCCTGTTACTTTGTTTTGTGATAACCAGGCTGCCATCCATATTGCCAAGAACCCCGTCTTCCATGAACGCACCAAGCACATTGAACTGGATTGTCACTTTGTTCGCACCAAACTGAATGAAGGGTTGCTTCAGCTGTCTCATACTTCCAGTGTCAACCAGCTTGCTGACATGTTTACTAAGCCCTTGGGAGGTGCTCTTCATAACTTGCATCTTCGCAAGTTGGGAGTTCTCTCACCCTCCAACTTGCCGGGGGGTGTTGAGATACAAGAAGAAAGTGGTGCTGTTACTTAGTTTTAATTGGGCTGTTACTTAGTTTTAATTGGGTTATTTCTCTACATTTGTCATTGGGTCTACATTTACTATTGGGCCTACATTGTATTTATTTATACTTGTATCAAGTAGTGGACCAGCCCATGTATTGAAGAAGGGGAAATATATTTTGTATAGACGGATTCATTTTTCTCTGAAATGGAAAATATCTAGAAGGTTCCGCCCTTCTTCTTCTCCGTTACTCTTCCTTCGATTGTACCATAAATGGAGTTTTATCATGTTATGCTTCACATTCGGGGTTTTTGCCTTCCGCAATACACCAGAAGATCTTATGCATTTTCTTATGACTATTTTTGAGGGGAAAAAAGGTGTACTCCTTTTGAACCCCCGACATTAACTTAATTCGTTCGGGAAAGAGGCCTTCCCGTCTTCTTTTTGTGCTTTCTTGGTGTCCTTTCTTTTTTTTCTTTTTTCCGAATGGCGAGGTCACTCATCAGAATGTGCGTAAAAAGAAATGTTCTAAGAAGCATTAATCAGAATGCGCTGGAAACGTGCAGGATTATTTCCAATCATCATGCTACAATTACATACTATATTTTACAAGTAATTATTTAAAACCTGTGGCACTTTTCAGTCTTTGCTGGTTTTCAGAAAACTTCTAAGTGTAAGGCTTTCTGAACTTCTCATGTAGTTTGTGGAGGAAAAAGAAAAGTTTGTTTTGGAAAAGCTCAGAATTCAAAAAGGAAAACTTAGAAATACAGATTTTAAAATCGTGAAGAAGAAAATGAATAGAAGAAACTATAAGAACATCTCATTGCAATAAAACTTTGTACAAGTTAGATTACATAAACTGAGGCTTGTGTAGTACTCTCTCTGTGTAAAAAAGATTGTCCTAGTTTGACTTGACACAAACTTTAATAAAGAATGAAAGATTTTAAAAATATGTGGTCTTAAATAAGCCATAATATTTGTGTGACTATAGAACTTCTGAAATTGTAGTCTTGGTGGCTACAAAATATGTTTCAACTAAGGAAATATTGAAAGGTGCCAATTTTTTTTAAACGGACTAATAAGCAAATAGTGCCAATCTTTTTGCAATGGAGGGAGTATTATTATCCAAAAAGCTACTATTATCACATGCAATTAAACAAATCAATGTAGCCATGAGATAAACTATAAGAACATGTTTGATCTATAAATGATACATGTCTGTACGTCTATGCCACAAACTTGTACGTCTGAAATGTTCAAATTTTAGAAAAAGCAGAAGGGAAGCTAAATTTGCACCAGAAATTTTGAAACTAGCTTACTTATCATCAGCAGGCACCATTGCAGCATTGTCCTTGTTGATAGCCTTCTTATACTTGTACCTCTTTGCAACCGCAAGAAAAGCAAAGAAGTTTAAGACACTTAAAATGGCCAACAACAAGAAGAAGTAATGCAGCTTGCCGCGATTTTGATTGTCTGCTATCCATCCTGGCTTTCCGTTCCTTGTGCTAATATCGGTGACAATGGTTACTAAGAACGAGCTCACGTAACTTCCAAGTGCAGTGGTCGTGAGAGAGAGGGCAGCGCACAAGCTCCTCATTGAATCAGGTGCTTGATCATAGAAAAACTCCAACTGACCGATAAATGTGAAAACTTCAGCACAACCAATTATCATATATTGGGGAATTTGCCAAAATACTGGCATTGGCACATTGGTGGTGTTATAGTAATTGTGCCTTCTTACTATGCCCAGCCTAACTACCTCTACAATTGCTGCAGATACCATTGCAAAGACTGATATGACAAGCCCAGTCCCCATCCGTTGAAGTTGAGTCAAGCCATTTTTGTGACCTGTGAACTTTCGAACAAATGGGATAAGCATTCTATCATAGATAGGAACCCAGAGAATCACAGCGACGGTGTCAAAAACAGAAAGTGAAGCCTCAGGAATTCTAAATTTTCCTAAATGTGTATCCATGTATGTAGCTTGCAGCACAAACATATTACTCATTTGGTTATACACTGTGCTGAAGATAATTCCAGTTGCCCAAATAGGTAGCAACTTGATAACAGACTTGAGCTCCTCAACTTGTGTTACTGTGCAAAGCCTCCAATTGTTTATTGAACCTCTATTCTCATCTGACTCTAGCTTCACAGCAGCTTTGTCGAAAAAACTGCAGAGCAAAACAAACATCCAAGTTAAACATCTCATAAAACTTAATGCGATAAGTATCAAGAAAGTTTAATCAGTTATAAACTAGATATTACACCCATATAGCATTGAGGATGATCGTATAAGGTATCCATGAACTAGATCATGAGCCCTTTGGATGTCATAGTAAGTTAATCTTTATGTATGAGCTTTTGAAGACTTCATAATTCATAAACATACCTCAACTCATTTGTATGAGCAAGTTTGCGACTCCCTTGGATGGCAGATTCAGCTTCTGCTGCAGTCTCATATAGCAGAGATTTATCAGCAGGCAATGCAATGCGGTATTTTCTAAAAGAAGCCACAACAACCTGGCATATACGCGTCAAAGGGCTTCCTCCAGGCTTTTGGTATCGATACAGCCGGGTGCCTGAAAAGAAAGATACAACAGCAAGTGCCATGGCCACAGCTGGAACACCGAACCCCCATCCCCAGCCAATGTCTTGTTGTATCCAGACTATCAATGACGAAGCAACAAGAGCCCCAACATTGATGGAGAAGTAGAACCAATTAAAGAAGGAATTCTTATGGTTTCTCTCAATAGGATCCGCATCATCGAACTGGTCTGCGCCATAGGATGAGACACATGGCTTGATCCCTCCAGTTCCCAGTGCTACTAAGTAGAGTGCAATAAAGAATACAGAAGTTTGACCGTTGGTCGCATGACATTTATCTTTTTCATAGCAAGTTGGCTTAAGCCCTGGCACTGATGCCGAAATTGTCAACAATGTCATCCCCTTGAATGATAAGAAAAATCAGTTAAGATTTATAGATGGTATACTTCTCCAAACCGAATATAATAATAAAAGCCTAGAAAAACAACAAAAGAGCCAACAGCTAAATAAACTCACAAAAACATAGATAATAGAGAATATGGCAATAGTCCAGTATCTTCCAAGATAAGAATCAGCAAGAAATGCTCCAAGCAAAGGCATGACATAGCATGTCCCTGACCAATTTGATTGATTTTTTGAAGCAGTTGCACTATGCTGATTGAGTTGATTCTTAAAATAAAGGACAAGATTGGTACTCATCCCATAATATGCCAATCTTTCAGAGCATTCATTCCCTGTCAAGTGTTAACAATAATTTAAAATCAATAATTATGGTATTAGAACAGAGAATATATATGATGATAAAGATTAGCATGTTTACCAAGTATGTAAGGGCAAGCCTTCCAAGTTCCTGTTTTCTTCTTATTTGCAGGCTTATTCCGATAATCCACAGTCCCGTCCTTGGTATAGATATCTTCTTCTGCCATGGCCTAACAACAACAACAACGACCCAGTAAAATCAATTTAGAGGGAGCCAAAAGATTGAGTAATGGCTCCACCCTTTTTTTTCTTAGATAGAATATCTCAGAAATCTAAAACACTCTATTCTAAAGTTCATTCACATAACCAAAGCTACAGTTATTGTTGGCAGCAAAGATGCAATTTGATTTTGGATGTACCAAACTCATTAGCTTTGTCTATGGGCCAGTAAAATGGCTAGATACATCTTGGAAAAGGTTCTCTTAGTTTGTTGGAGAATTAATGGCTCATGTTTTTACATCTGTTTTTCTTATGCTATCAAACAAAAGAAAAAAGTCAAACAAAGAAAAGGAGTAAACTCTCCTCGTAAATTCAGCAACTATTTTGTTCTATTTTAGTTTTTGGCTTATTTCTAATTCTCATAAATGCACAAAGTGGTAGTCATATTTGACAATTTTATTTATTGAACCAATCAGATTTTAGAAATACTAAAAAGGAGTAGTACATAAAAAAAGGGACTAAACTTAACATATAAATAAACACATGAACTTTACCCAAAACTTGTAGAGTCTACAATGTTAATCATTTAGTACTTTCATTATGAGTCCTAATCTCTCTATGTTTTACAAGCACATAAAAAAAGGGACTAAACTTAACAAATAAACAAACTCATGAATTTCCGAAAATGATAAACAAATTTCGCCAGAACAGAAAAGCAAAATAGACGTTCATAAATAATTAATGTTTATTAACTCCCATTGGCTTCATCGACGACAAATGCTCCACTTATGGAATTTATGAAACGACAAACAAAGAGTTTCGTTTCTTTCACTTTCTCTTAAATTCAATTACTCCACTATTATTTTGCTTTTGGTGAAGTAGGAGCTGTTGTTACAAAACATTAGATTTGCTTCTCACCTGTGATGATTTAAAGAATCTGGAAAATAACTGTTTTCAAATCATAAAATGAAACATCAAACTTTATAACGTAAAACAACGATATATTAGAGGCAGAAGCATAAAAAAAATTAAATTAATAAGAAAGAAAGCCGAAGATGGTTCAGTAATTGAATGGCAGTTGGAGAGAAAATGATTCAGGACATGGAATAGCAGAGAAAATCGCAGTAGGAAGAAGCATGAATAGAGTAACAGAGAAAGAAAAAGAACCAAACCTGAAACCTGTGCTGTTGCAAGAAAAATTCTTAGTAGATTAAATGATTGTCCAGGAATTAGGAGAGACACCCAAAGTAATGTTTCGTCTTGTTATAGATGTTTCTTGTTGAGTTTTGATTTCTCTTCCTCTTTTATATATAGGAGTGTAGTTGTCACCCCATGCACCCCCAAATCTGCATTTCCCTTTTTAACCCGGATTCCACCCATCAGTAATAAATATTTTACTTTAAAAAAAGATTTTATTTTATGTCTTGAAAATTTTATTTTCCTGGTAAAAGATTTCCTAGAAGTTTTTTTTTTTTCGAAAACTAAGCCAGACACTTAACTTTTTCTTTCCCACAATCTTTTTTAAAAAGTTAATCTATACCAAATCAAAGGCTACGAATGTTAATTACTATTTCAACAATTTTGACTATCCTAGGAATAAATGCTAATCCAATTGAAGATCTTAGGACTAAGCTTGTTACTAAAAATGCAAAGATGATGACTCACTGTATATTCAATGATGTGAATGTCAAAGTGATTTAAACCAATAACTTTCCATCCATTAGGGTCTGATTGGAAAGCCATCAGATAATTAGAATCGGTATAATTACTCACAGCCTAGTAATTGCACAATATTATAATTACAACAATCTGTTTGTTTTTCATAATATAAGTACAATGTAATTACAACTGTACTGTTTGGTTGCACAATTATAATCACACAGTAATATTATATTTTAAATTTTAATTATCAAAAATTAAAAGTTATGATTTACAAATATATGCCTTCATAAATAATATTAAAATATACATATAAGATAGATATTGTTTCTTGAAAATATATTAATTATTAGTCATATATTTGTAACTAATATTGTAAAAATACTTGATATATATATTTTTCAAATTAATAATATTTTACTTTAATCAATTAAAAAACTAAAAGTACATTTTTGTAAGAATATCATGGACTGCATGCTTGACAAAAATGATTAATATTTATAAATATAATGCCATAATATTACTCAAATATTTTACGAAAAAATAATCTATCATATTCTAACTGAAAAATTAATAGCATGAAATCTGAATTAATAAGTGAATACTACTAGAACAAATAAAATAGAAGCGAAAATAAAACATAAATTCAAAATCCAATTTATTTTAACATAATTCTCTTATGTAAAATTACAACATAACATAAAATAAGTTTCAACATAATTTAATTAAATATAATCCAAAAGGAAAGAAAAACATAAGTCTATAACCTCATTCAACAATAAGATTCTACTTTAATGACACCACTCATTATATGCTAAGTTTATGAATGATTTAGTATTTCTAATATTAGGAGGATTAGTTTCAAAACTAGAATAATGGCACAATTATGCTAAATGAAAAAATAAAATAAAAAATATGAGCAACTACATGGAATCGCAAAATCTAAAAGGTTGAAAAATGAGAATATTATTTAATTATTAAAAAGTTATAGGAGTATATCATTTTAACATAGTTAAGTTTGCATATAACCTCATTCAATAACAAAGTTCACTCTAATGACATCACTCATTATAAGTCAAGTTTGTGGATGACTTACTCTTTCTAAGATTATGAGGTATATGTAGGCATATAAATTTTATTACAATTAAATCCAAAAAAAAAATTTGGTGTTATATTTTAAAATTCAAGATATATTGGTCCAAAGAAATATTATGGGCTAATATAATTGAATTAATTATATAAGTCCAATATACATGGATTGAATAAATGAGTCTTAATCCATCTGGCTAGCCCATTAAATTGGGCTAAAGTGATGGGCCCACTTCATTAAGCCCAAGATGTCATCTTCCTAGAGGCCCAGTTTGGTGTCACATGTCAAATGGCGTGACATCCCAAGTCAAGCGAAAGAGCCAATAGGACCGTGCCACGTGTCAAAATGACAAGGCATGCCAAGTCACATTAAAAGGCTAATGAAATCGCGCCACGTGTGTAGGTGACATGTTCTGGCCAATCAAATGCGGCCATGTCACACTTCAATTTGATTGGTCGCAAAGAGTTTGTTCTTATCACAACTCCTCCCTTCCACAACTATAAATAGGGGCCTTCATAACCCAGGAAAGACACCAGAAGTTATAACAAGAAGCAAGAGAGAGCTCGTGGATCAAATGCCGCAAATTTCACTACAAGTTTCAAGCTTCAAGCAATCAAGCACAAGTTCAAGAAATCATGTTCAAGCTCAAGAACGAATAACAAATCAAGGTCAAGTTCAAGCAATCAAGCTCAAGTTCAAGAACAAGATCATCGTTAGTGGCAACAACTGCATATTCAAGATCAAGCTTAACGGCCCTTGAATTTATTTACTATTGAAAAGTAGAATAAGAGGATGCATAGAAATTGTAACTCTCAAATATTCGAAATAAAATGCTACGATTGTTGCAATAATTTTCAGTCTTGATTTTATTTTCTCGACGCAAATTTATTGTCTACAAACTCTGGCACGCCCGGTGGGACCATCTCTACCTCTCATCTCAACTTTTCAATCACTAAAGTTCAAGAATATCGAAATGGCTTCAAAGAAAATCAACTCGAGCTCAACTTTCACCAAGGGTGCTAATTCCAAGTTCTATGCTGATGTGGAAAACATACTTGAAGTTACCTTTGGAAGCTTTGGACCAGTTACGAGGAGCAAAGCAAGCTCGTTAGGAAGACAAGCACCCCAAGTGTCGTCCGCATCTACCCCTATTTTCGGATCTTCATCCTCAAAAGGAGCAAGATCTTCCACAAACGCACCCGAAGGAGGAAGCGATGTTGCTGAAAAGATCAAGAAAACTCTTGCTCTGCTTGACCTCTCCGGATCCAAGCACTCTGCTGTGAAGGAAGATGATGATGCTTCAAGTGATGGATCTTCCTCACTTACACCACATAGCATGAGCCAATCAAGGATCAATCTATGTGACAATCCATGCTACTCTCCATCGTCCACAACAATCATGCAAGCCATGGTGACAAACACTTCATTAGTGGAGTAGTAGTTGGCAAACTTGACGGAAGCAATCACTAACTTGACCAAATGCTTGCAAAATCAAGATGCTAGAAGTGACAAGCTAAGAAACAGGGTGGGAATCTTGATGGAAGAAGAATCCACCCATGCACCCAGCGAACTCCCAGATGTTTAAGAGATTGATNAGAAGTTAAGAGATTGATCCCCCCCCACGATAAGTTGCATCCACTAAGGAAATTCCAGTCTCTTCAGAAGGGATGATTCCAATCAATCAACTAGGAGTTCATTGAAGGGACTATAAAAAACAAATATGAAGTCTCTTCCAAGTCCTCCGTTACCAACGCAAAGTCGTACACTTCGAGGATCGATATGTCGAAGATGCCTGCTGGCTATCAAGCTCCAAAATTTCAACAGTTTGATGGTAAAGGAAATCCAAAGCAACATGTGGCGCACTTCGTTGAGACATGAAACAATGCTGGGACTTATGGAGATTACCTCGTCAAGCAGTTTGTCCGCTCATTAGAAGGAAATGCTTTTGAATGGTACACAGAACTCGAGGCTGGATCTATTGATAGCTGGGATCAACTAGAGAAAGAATTCCTCAATCTCTTTTATAGCACGAGATATACTGTGAGTATGATAGAACTTACAAATACTCATCAACGAAGGGTGAACCAGTTATCGACTTTATCAATCGTTGGAGGAATGCAAGCCTCAACTGCAAAGATACGCTTAGTGAAGCTTCGGGCATAGAGATGTGCATCCAAGGCATGCATTGTGGGCTACGCTACATCTTGCAAGGTATCAAGCCTGGCACATTTTAAGAACTTGCGACTTGTGCCCATGACATGGAGTTGAGCATGGCCTCCGCTGGAAATGAAAGTTTGCCTATCTATGAGCCTCGAAAAGGGAACCACAAGCAAGCCGTCAGGAAATGGGGCAAGTTTGTACCCAAATCTGAAGATAAAGAAGTTATGAATGTCAACACATCACCTATGAAGTTCACAACGAAAGTGAGAAAGAAGTAGAGTATGAAATCCACTTCTTTTCAAGATAAACCAAGTGGAAAGTTGACCCTAAAAGAAATGCAAGAGAAAGAATACCCATTTCTGGATTCTAATGTGCCAGCTATTTTTAAAGAACTTCTCGAGTTAAATCTCAT